CGCAAAGGTGCACTTTAATGGTGTGATAAAGCAAGGCAACCCGAATGCTCGCTCGTTTCCTGACCCTTCCCAGATATTTTCGACTTATCAAGTGGTCGTGTTAGATAACTTCTATCGAAATAACTACTAATAGGCTGGCAAATATAAAAAATGTTCATGCGGTCGAAAACATGTTGTGAAAAATATAACATGAAATACAGCTCACAGTTGCTAATGATGTCAATAAAGAGGAGAAAATTAAGTTATACGTATGTATAATGTAGGTGCGCAAAAACCTGATTTGGTAAAGCCTTGAAAAATGTCAAATCAAATGACAAAGCGAGACTGAAAATTCCACAACATTTGGTCTTGCTCTAATGAACTTGAAGAGCCGTTGCGCGATTGCGGAATCCCTTCCGGAACGTTGCGACAGACGATACTTGATGTGCGGGACAGTTTTTCATTTCGGATGACTACCTACCTACCCACACACACATACACATGTTTTGAAGCCTGGATTGTGAATTTCCTGTTTGCAACAACAACAACAATAACAATTGAGAGCCATTGAGGCTATTTTAAACGACGCGTCAACTATTCAATCGAGACTCAATTTGTAGTCTAACGTGCTGTCGCCTACACACTGTCTGTCTGTCTGTCTGCATTTATATTTGTGTGTCTACATATATCGGTGTGCCTGTGAGCGTGTTTAAGTATTGTTTTCAAAATCTTAAGCCAGAGTCAAGGCAAAACTACCTGAACTGCTGCTGTCGCCGTTGCCTTTTTCCATTTAACGGTCATTAGCCGGTCGCCGGAATGATCTTGCCTTGCATGTGCAGATCACATGGCTTTAGCATTGATCGCATTTCTTCATAAACCTTTCTCCCAGTCCTAAAAAATCAACTGCAATAAATCATTTAAAGCAGGCGTCGTACGCTGCTTTCTGTTTCAATCATTAAGCCTCTACTCTATCAAACTATTTTGATAACTTTCTATGGACATGCCGCCAGCATGTTGTTACCACCGAAATATCACTATTGCTTTTGTTGTTGTTGTTGCTGGCCAACATGGTAACTTGACACGCCTTATCCCACACACGTCTGCGCATTCTTTAACTTTTGGAACCATGCTTGCGCCTTATGGGAGCCCCAACAGATGTCAGTAATCGAATAAAGCTGCATAGAATTTCAATTTATACATAACCACGAACATTATTTATGATCCTATTTCTTATAACTCGACCCGTATTTCATTACAAACCTCATTTTAACGGCCTCACAAATATGCCTCTACCATTCGAGTAACACGGGGAAGGGGGTTGTCGATCATGTGGACGTTTTCTAGCTTACATAAGTAAATGGCTTCTTTTTTTACTTACGGACATTCCATAATTTCATAATTACGTTTTACATATTAACTTGAGGTCATTAAACCTGGAGCTATTTTATAAATATACATTTTTACACGCCTTGGCTTTACCGATAATGTTATACTGCTGAATTTTTTCAATCCAAGTGTGCACAAAACTCATCCACATGTAGTGACGAAAACACAAGCTAAGTGAAGTGACAATAAAGGTGGTTTCTTAGCTGTGCCGATTGTGTGACCAATAATAAATGATTTGGTGAGTTGCAGGGCTTTTTTCGTTACTACATGCATAGGTAACTATGCATTCTTCTCCTTTTTTGGATTTGGATCTAATTTTGAATTTTTCAAATATGAAGTGCGACGAAAAACCGAACTGTGATTGTCTCTGAAATAATTTGTTTAAAAATTTGCATTTTACTATTATTAGCAAGGGTTTATTTTCATTGTTTGTTTCATTTTATATGGCAAGTGTGATTGTAAAAGCTGGAGATATTTAGTAAAGCATCGGCCCTGGTCGTGAAGAGCAGTGATGAATTGGCTGACTCATGATTTCCGACTTCAAACTAATTTACATACAGGTACAAGTATGGCCAGTACTGGTTTATTTTCTAGGCCTGAGTAGCCCAGCGCAACAGCTACAATGGCAATAGGAATCCACTTTAGTATCTGCGGTGTTAGCTGGCTGGGCATATCTAAGTGAACTAAGTAGAGCTTAAGTCTGGCGAAAATGCTGCATAAAGTTCAACAGAGTCGTCGTGACTCTCCGATACGTAAGTAGACATATGGGTAGACCTGAAAACCTAAACCCGTTTGCAGTCGGGCCAAAGTGCAGTTTTTTTTTTTACCATTCAAATGGTAATAGCTTGTTTCGGTGCAAAGAGTCCGCTATATCCACTCTCCACATAAATATATGTGTATGTACGAGTATGTATGTAGGTGCCTATACGAGTATGAGTGTTGTTTGTGCAGTCAGCTTTACGGTATTGAAAGTCGTTACCAATCAGTTGTTGCATATCTTTGGACTTAACGCCCACGCATATTGCTGCAGACAAAGAGCGGTTAGGTTGGATTAAAGCGATTCCATGGATAGCAAATGCATATGCGTATGTGGGAGAATGTGTATACATATGTCTAATTGAGGCGACATACATATGTATGTACTTCATATTCATAGTAGTAGTAGTTATATATACTCATAAATGCAGGCTATAAGCATTCCAAGCCGTCCAAGCTTGCCCTTTAAGCATTTCGTTTACAGCTGACACGGCGTTTCCTTTATTTATCTTGGCATAAAAATTATGCAAACGTAAGCAAGTCCCTTAGAATTCATATCGTCTTGTTTATATGCAAATAAACATATACACACGAAAAGTATGTATACATTACTCTGCTCCGTTTTTAAGATTGTCAAGCACGAGCGCAGCTTTATGGGTCAGGTTTCGTCTGGAGCTAGTTATTTGGAGTCTTCAATTTCAAAAACTCAAAACCATATACATGAAGCATATTTAGACATATCTACCGTCCAAGCCTCAGTAATAAAACACTTTTTTGAATGAGCTAATAATAATAAGGACGTTTTCGTTTTATAGTAAAATCGGGCATCATAAAACCTAATCAACAGCAACTATGCCAGCTATATACGAAATTAGACTATGCATGGTGTTCATACGGACGGACGAACATACGACATTCTACCGATTCAATCTCAACATACCTCCTAATGTCTATGGCATATTTACTATGCATTTTGAATTGGATACCCTTGTATACACGATATAATAATCAATCTGAACTTTTTTCTAAGCCAATTATGTGATAGTTCATTAATTCATAAATCATTGTGAATACTATAGATCGACATGTTCGCATCTCAAATGCATTAATAGTTTGGTCGGCAATTGCGCTTAAAACGCCTTAACGCCTCTAATGCGCTTGTGGTGTTCATAATTGCGCTTTGAGGGCCTCAAAGCAAGTGCCGTTATGGTCGCTTAAATAACAAAAATGCGGGCATCAGACAAAGTTCCAAGCGCCTCTGTGTCGTAGTCAACAAAAATCACATCTCACGCATTTCCTTGCGTTTATGGGCACGCATATTTTTCATATTTAATTGGATGGAACGAGAAACGCAGTCTCGGCAATACAGCTCGAGCGGCGGCGGGAGTGGTTCTGCCGACGCATTATGTTTTCTGATGTGTCCGTCCGTATACACAAATATGTCCACCTGCATCTTGGCTCGGGCCCAGCTGAGGTTGGAGCGGCTGCTTACAAATGTAAATTGACAAGCAGATTTAATTTTGAAACTCTTACTTGCATTTGCATGCATTTCGTATAAATCATTTGAAAAATCGGTTCAACAAAGTGGGAAGTGAATTTTTGGAGTCATCGAAAATGGAAAACTGTTTTCACCACACATGCATGGAATTCATTTGAAATGTTTTTCGACACACATCTTTTTGCTGACTAACAGTTTGAAAATAGCCCTAGCCTCATGCATTCCTGCTGAACAGCGAAGCTTGCGGGCCATTCATTTGAAAAAAGTCCCAAAGCCGATAAGCAAACACCCATATACTCGTAGATTAGTATCTGAAAACATTAAAGTTAAATACTATAAATGAATTGCAATGCGCATCGAAAAAGCCCAACAGCACAGGAAACCGGACACTAATTTTTGGTTCATATGTGAATGTGTATGCCGATGGAATTAGTGGCAACACAAACCCCTTCATTTAGCCAACTGCTAATTGTGCGTGCCAACAATAAAGATACTCGTACTGTTGCCGTGTTTCTGTTGAAGCTACTGGTTTTGAAAAATGGCCATAAGCCCGGGAGGGAGCGCGCCCGTGATCGATGCACGTCAGTTGAATGATATCATAGCTTGGATTCTTTTTTCTTATATTTTCTACACGTAGTATGAGTGTCGGACCCTGAATTCAGCAGATACATACCTTTATGGCGCAGATAAATATGTATGTATGTAGAGGTATGGCTTCAACATGAATACCTAGGTCTGCTATCGCTGATTCAATAAACGTTTCTCTCGTTATCAGCATTATTCTGTTTGTTGTTGCTATGATAAGATAAGTTGCATAAAATTGTTTTTTTCGTGGAAACATTATGAATAGTTTCGTAAGCCTTTTTGTCAGTTTGCTTGGAAATTTGGATATATATATTGAAATATCCAAATGAAATGTCCAAGCTCCGGGTACTTTTCCACTAAATGTTTTTTGTACAGAAGCGAAGTTTAGATCAAAAGGTTTTACAGTTGAGTTTTATAAAGCTATAGCTTACAAAAGTAACATGAGCGATACCTATATTGACTTTTATCTACATTTTTAAAATACATATTAAACCCATAAAAAAACACAACAACACAACGCCCATAATAAGAATCATTTTTCTATCAGAACAATGCGCATTCGATTCATTGCTTTCATAATACTGCGCACATTTCGAACTTTGTAATGCCAAAGCCTATAAAAAGTGTGTTCATATAAATTATTTACGCATCATTGTTTACATGAAAAAAGGGTGAGAAGACGATTTTAAAATTAATGTTTTTAGTTTGTATAAAGCCCTCTCATAAGTTTCAATTCTTTGATTAGATAAGCTCAGGTATATGATTGAAAATCTAATTTCTGGTTACTTTATTGCAGTTTGCCATTCCTAAAGATGGGTCGCCAGTCGAAACTGGTGTTGCTGCTGGTCCTCTGTCCGATATTACTGCAGACCACCTACTCCAGCACACCGAAGCCAAATGCAGCTATTCACCTCGTACACGATGATATTTTGGATAATGAGCTAGATTCTGGCGAGGCAGATACAATTTCCATGCCCAAGATCAAGCAAGAGCAAGTGGAATCAATAACAAAGATCGCTGGCAAGCCGAAACCATCAACAACAGAGGTTCCGGTCAGTGAGGAAATCCCTAAAGATGAGGGATCTAAACTGGACGATCATCTAAAGACAGAGAGCGTAAAAAGCAGTAAGAACAATAGCAGCGAAGGTAACTACGAGTATGGTGACTATGAGTACGATGACGACGACGATGAATACGAAAACTACGACAACGAGGAGGTGGAGTCGACTAGTGTGCGTTCGAAGAACAGCAAAACCAAAAATGTGACGCCCAAACTACACACTACCGAGGAGGAGAGTTCATCGAAACCGAAGGTATACAAATATTACGATTTTACCATTAAAAAGTTCGAATCAATAAACTTTTTATTATTTATAATTGGCTAACATTTTCACAGGCAAAGAATGGCAAAGCTGTAGAGAACAAGGAGAATGCAATTGACAATGATTCGAATTACGACGACTATGATGAGGATGAAAATAGTTCCGACGAAGATGACGAGTCCGACAACATTGCCGACGTATATATGCACATATAAAATAAAAAATCACTTTTTGCGCTAAATTTGTACTTTATTTTACAGGAGGAGGTAGTGTTCAGCGAGAACGTGCCATGCGCGAGATACTGCGTCTGTTCGCGTAATGTCAACAGCTACTTGGTTGCCACCTGCAGCAGGTAAGATCTTAAATATCTGGCAACAAAAAGCAGCACTTCATTGTTAACCTTTTCAGACTAGATCCAGGCACTCAGAAGTTCGGTTCGGATATCTCGGACTTGGTCGTCACCAATGTGGGTCCCAAATATCCCATATTGATGGGTCCGAAGTTCTTCCACCAACTGGGTCTTAAAAAGGTCGTATCTATCAAGATTGCCAATTGCACCATAGAGTACATGCATCCTGAAGCATTCCACGGCTTGGAGGACCTCTATGCTGTTAACTTGACAAATGCGGGTCTAGCAATCATCAGCCCAGATACCTTTGATCAGAACAAAAAACTGCGTATGCTCACTATATCTGGCAACGATTTAAGCATCATGTCCACCGTCCACTATTTGCTGAAGGTATTATCGAAGTACTAAGATATTTTAACCATTTTTGCTTAAGCAATGCTTCTTCCCAGTCTTCTAGTGTTGAGGAACTTGACTTCTCTCGAAACAACCTAATGGAACTTAATCCGAACGCCTTCTCACATCTCTCAAACATCGTGTACATCAACCTGGCCCAAAACGGCCTTATGAAGATACCTAAGAATGTCTTCGATTCCGTAGAAACCATTGAGGAACTGGATTTGTCCTATAACTCACTGAAGGAACTTCCTGAAAATATTTTCAACCGCACCGCTCTAGCCATACTTCACCTCAAATATAACTCTTTTACTGGCGACCTTAAAATCGCCGGCAGCGATCTGCAGCAATTGGATCTGAGCTTCAATTCTATTACGCAAGTGCATCATAGCATGTTCGACAAAATGACCGGCCTGACCAACCTTAACCTTAAGGGCAACGGTATAAAGAAAATTCAACCAGACTCTTTTCTATCGCTGAAGAGCTTGCGGCACATTGATTTGTCCATCAACGACTTGGACCAGCTGTCAAGTATGCTGTTCTTCAAAAACTCAGAGCTCGACGTCATCCGCATGAATGATAACCCAAGACTAAGCCAACTGCCCACAGATGGTTTTATCAGCTACAACGGTTATTTCACCGTTTATTTCTTGGACATATCAAACTGTGCCATTGGTGCTCTTGGTCACAAGACCTTTTCCACAATGCCACACCTGACTACCCTAAAGCTGGCCTGGAATAACATCAACAGTCTACCCCGGGACATCTTTGCTAGCCTGACCAAGTTGATCGATTTGGACCTGAGCAATAATCTCATCTCTAAGCTGGATGAGCTTATCTTTATGGAAAATAATGAGATTACCAAACTAAACTTGGCCGGAAATCCCATCAATAAATTGTCCGTACGTCTCTTCATGCCCCTACATCAGCTGCGCTCTTTGGACATGAACGACTGCGAGCTCGTTTCGCTGCTGTCCGATAAACAGTTTGGTACCGACTACAAGTTCTTTGAAACCCTGCGAAGCTTTAACGCATCCGGAAATCTAATCCGAAAGATTTCGCCTGCCGACATTAAGAGCTTTAAGAACCTTCGCTCCCTCGACATCACCCACAATCCACTCAAGTGCAATGATGATTTCCAAGACTTTATCAGCTATGCTTCACTGCACACTCAGATAATGCCAAGGAAGGTGCCAGCGCTGGCCAATTTGCAGGATGATGTAACGCTGGTTGAAATCGAAACTCAAGCCAGCTGGGCACAATTAGCTCGTGATGTGTGCAAACATAACGAGATGCTCCACAAAGACGAAAAGCTGGAGAAACGCATTGAGGAGGCCGATAAAAAGGTCGAGGAAGACGAACGGAAACTGTTTAGCATCATGGATGCCAGTGCACAGAACAAGAATAAGCAGAGGAACATGGATAAAATAATGAAGGGCACAACGAATGCTAAAACAGACAAAGATGACGCTTTGAGTGGTAGCGCTGAGGAGGACCAGAATAATGGTGGTGAGGATAAGGAGGATGATAATGGAAGTGAATATGACACGGACGATGATGTCGATGATGATGCTGATGATGATGATGACGATGATGATGACGATGAAGACAACAACGGAAATGACGATGAAGTTAAAGAAAACACTAAAGTCCACATTAAGACACGGGGCCACTTCAAGGTCACAAACCACGGCCTTAAAGTTGAGGAAGTCGAACTATCCAAGGAGACACGAGACAAGTTCTTGCTGAGTAAGTATCACATATGTTACTATGATTGCTAGCGAGGCACATAACATTGGCATTTTCCTATCAATTTATCAGACAAACTGGGCCTCGACAACGATGATTTGAACAGCGATGAGGAAGAAATTATCATTGAGCGTGGCCACATATACTATAATGGCTATAGTTTTATGATCCCAATCATTCTTCTTGTCACCTGTGTGGTTGTAATTTTGTTGGCCATCGTCAAAGTGGTGACAATGATTCTGCGCAGGCGCGGAGAGCGTTATCGTATGGCACTGTTGGCGCCAAAGAATCCATTCGTGTATCAGAAACTCAGCGAAGATATTGTGAAGCCCGCGATCAAGGAGCAGAAACAGCCAAAGGTGCACCGATATGCGCCCATTAACCAGGTCTAAGTCCACACCGCAGAAAACAGCTTCGTAAACTGCATCGACAGCGGTGTGGGGGAGTCAAGTGTGATGCGCTGTTTTTTTATTTATAAGTTTATTTTAGCTAAACACATGGAAATTCCATACGAAAAGGTCTACAAAATGGTAATACATACGATTACAATAAACATAAAAGACATCCGTGAACTTTCCGCAGCTACGTATCAGCAGAGCTGGAAATGAGTCGAGTAAAAAGTATTAGCCAAACTGCAAAAATATTAAAAACCCGTACAATCGATGAATCGGAGTGTTGTTGTTGTACTTAATTCAACTACGTCCACCGAGGGCAAGGGGAACGACTGATCAGCCATCGTTTCGAGAGTAACGGCCTTTAAACAGGCTGGGACTTACTTATTTTGTTTCATATATTTACGTGTGGAGGATTACTCAGAGTTGCGTTTGATTTGGATACGTTTGATGATTTAGTGCCATTTTGCCGGAAATTCATAAAGTCCTACATAGAGAGAGAGAGAGAGAGAGGAACGGAGAGAGATAAATCAAACCTAAATTGAATCAAAAAGAAGCAGACGAAAATACTTATGATGTGTGATGAGACCTTTCCTTCGGCTTAAAACCAACCTTTCAAATTAAGGCAAAAGAATGAGCAAAGCAAGAAAACACAAGATATATACAATATATACATTTAATTAATAGCTAAGATAAGTCTTTTTCTTCAATTATCCTAAACGATTACCTAAATGTTGAACTTATATACTACATGCATATCTATAATCCGAAAACAATAAATTATTATCAGATACACAGAGCATACTACTTACAATAAATACAAAATTCGACCATCGAAGAACTTAAATGTCGTGTTTAAAAGTTATATAAAATAAAAATTCTTTCTAATTAATTGTGCAGTAAATTATTTATTTTGAAACGCAATTATATCACATTATTTGTAATAGAATAACGCCTCTTTTCTACAATATATTTCGGATATTAAAATTATTAAAATTTTTCCCCTTTTTATTAGATTTAAAAGTGGTTGACCTTATCGATAAATTTTCGTATTTTGTATACCAAGTGATATCGATAAGCGGTATATAGTTTTATCAGTTGGGTTGGCCGATGAAGGCTTGCCAAGGGGTAACCTGATGAACCACGGGCGAAGAAGCACAATATTATTTGAAAGTTCTTAGATATTTTCCAAAATAATCACCTGATACCGGTTGATATAGGAATTACATTTTGTTATATGGACATATATTTTTATTTTGCGAAAAGTTTAAACAGTGGCGTGTAAAAAGATAACTTAATAGACCTGCATTGAGTTCTCAAAGAGCCCAGCCAAATCGTCACGAGTTTGTGTTCGAGGTGCCATCTTGGTGATGCGTTCCTGGGGCAGCACACCTTCGACTAAGGCCGGAACATCACTTTTATTGAAGCCCAGTTCGTTAAGGCCATTTTCAATGCCTGCACGTTGCATGAAACCGCGCACAGAGTCTGCCAGAGCCCGCCCGGCATCTGCAGCCTTCACACCGGATACATCGGCCCCTAGGAATTTCGCCGCTTCCAGGTGGCGATCGGGACAGGCGGGAGCAGTAAACTCAAACACAGCAGGGGCGCTGATCACAACAGAGAGGCCGTGGGGTATGAGGGCATGGTCCGCCGAATAATCTTTTGGCACGTAGTTGCGAACATTGCCCGAAATGGGATAAGACAACCCATGGCAAAGGTGTACTCCCGCATTGCCAAAGCCAACGCCAGCCATGGTTGAGGCGAGATGCATGCGAGAACGGGCCTCCAAGTTATCCGGTTGGTAAATGGCGTCTATGAAGTTGTCTCGTATGATGTCCAGAGCAAAACGAGCCCACACATCTGAAACGGGGTTCCTCCCCTGGTAGGGAGGACGCAGACTAGGATCTGCTGGCGCTGGACCTCGCTCACGATAGTCGATGGCCGTGAAGCTCTCTAGCGCATGGCAAAACACATCGAATCCAGCGAAGGCGGTTACCCGTTCGGGCTGGGTTAGGGTGTGCAGGGGATCGATTATAGCTGTGGATGTGCTTGTGGTAAGAGTGTGATCTAACGTTGAAGTATGTTACCTTACCGAGAGTCGGTTTAAGGTACTTGCTGGAAATGCCCGTCTTTACATGCAGTTTCTTATAGTCGAAAATGGCGACACCGGTGGTCTCAGACCCAGTACCTGATGTTGTGGGCAGGGCTATGAGTGGTTTCAATTTGACATTGATCTAAGCAAATGGGACATAATTGAGGATGTCATCTTTAAAGAATGCTACAGTGTAAAGAGTATTGAAATGCCTTGCCTCTTTGCCATTTCCAACAGGACGGTTCACATAGTCAAGGAACTGTGCTTCGCGATCGCTGCAAAAGAGATTGGCCGCCTTGGCAGTGTCAATGGTGGAACCTCCGCCGATGGCCACAAATGCATCGAACTGTTTGCTGCGAGCGAACGTGGCGGCATGCCACATGCTGGCGTCAGTCGGCTCCACACGCGTCTCGTCGTAGACTTCGTAGGCGATGCCATTGCGTGCCAAGGAGTCGAGCGCCACGCGCACGGAAGGAAGCTTTATTACGTTCTTATCCGTAACGAGGCAAACGTTCTTCGCTCCCCAATTGCGTAGATCAGCTCCAAGTTCGACGCTCACGCCAGGTCCAAAGCGCACTGTTGATGCTGACATCTACAATCAAATTAATTTATTTTTATTTGCTTGTTTATGTGATGTTGGACTTTGGCCGCCTTTCTGGTTCACCTCAAATGCGTATTCCATTTTACCCGTTTGTGTGGCAGCTGCGACGGACCCATAGTTATGTGAGTGTGCCGGGCATTTGCAGCTGTAAGCCAAATAGATGGCTTTAAGCCTATTATAGTAATTTAGAAATGTGGTACTTACGAATTGGAAACGACCGTATTAATCAAACTTAAGACATTTTTGCGCGACATCTCTACAAGCGTATGCTCCAACTCTGATGTGTGTTTAGAAACTGAAGCAACTGATAAGACACCAATGAGAGGAAGACGCCAGCGCTGTGTGCGTCAATAAATAGAACTTATCGATATTCTTTGGTATGGAAAATACCCAAATAAATCGATAAAATGCGTAATTTTGATAAGACTTCGCCCGCCAATATACTTAGTATATTTTCAAAAAAACTGAAACACGGGCATGAGTACCAGTTGAGGAAAATAGTCAAGACTGAAGGAAGTCGGTATAAGGTGTGAGGCTGGCATATTTAAAAATGTGCCTCAAGTCATTTAAGAATGCTTGTAATGATTGGTCTTATAAATTTATGGATTTCTCCTAAATGTTATCAGAATTAAATTCTTGCTAAACGTCGTTCACGTTCACGAAAATTACGCATATGTTTTCATATTTTACAATGGGAAAGAAACATAAAGGTGAATAGAAAGCAAATCTAGTTTCTACAAATATCTATTAAATGGTAATTTCCGCATGTAGTTATAACTGGATTGTAGAATTGTTTCTTCATGGGTTACATCGGTCATTAAAAATGTTTGTCAAGTGGCATCCATATGAAAGTTATCATCTAAAAGCTGTCAAACTAATTGTACGATACTCGTTTATTTGTCTGCTAATTGTTATAATCTAACTAAACGATTGTCCGCCCATTTTCAACACAAGATTTACAACTCAATTAGTGGAATCTCTTCACTTGATCTGCGGACATAGACAGAACAATCGCTTCGAACTTGACAAGTAAATGATAGTGATGTTTGTTCCCAGCTGTAACCCAACAGACCATGCCATTTTTAACGTTATGTATGTATGCATATGAGCGGCTTGGCATAAATAGGGTTCCATTAGCCGATATTGCTGACAGTGCATAGACAAGTGAGGCCCGCAAAGCATTCGATTGCATCTATTGAGTGAAACTATCATTTAAAAATATGAAGTGGTTCAGTGTGTTTTTGGTTTTCGGGGTGCTGGCATTGATTGGCAGTCTCGGCACTTTAGCAAATGCGGAGCCGGAGCCTAAGGGCCGCCCGCACACCACTCGTCGTCCGAGGAACGAAAATGATGAGAGTCGACGCTAGCAATGGAAGGAGCAACAGGAGGAGCCAACTCGTAGAAGATGCACTGAGCCGCAGCAGACTGGTGATGGACGCCGAGTAGTTGTAAAGTGTTTTGGTTTTTCACAATTGCAATTGGTTGAGATATTGTTTATTTAGTGAAGAGAAATGTGAAAATAAAATGTTACCATATTGACTTTCATAAGATGATCTATCAATTAACAATTTGAAGTGCTTGGCCATCCAGATGCCGGACATTTGTTTTAGAACTCTAAAGCTAACAACACACTAGAAGAAAGTTTTAGCTGATTCTGAAGAGCAATACTTTAAAAAAAAAAAAAGGCGCGAATTGTGTACTCCTTTGTTGATATCTAATTAATTATTGACATTTTATTTTACTCGCAATTCATGTATTAACATAATTGATTGGGTTTTGATAATTATTTATTCATAAATTTTTTCCGTTCACATCACTAGAGTTAAATTGGTCTGCTTACGAATACATAACTCATCATCTCTTGCATCTATTTATGAATTAAATAGATTACTTTCGTATATTATTTATGCATTTTTGGTTGTTTGTTTGAATTTTTTTTGGCGCTGATTAATTTAGAATCGTATTGAATTGCTGTATGTGTAAATATTTATTATACTTGTAAGTATGTAGCACATTGTTAAATCAATATATATAAATATAAGCATTTACAATTCGCATAATGATGCAATTAATTTGATTTAATTAGGTTCATTTGCTTAACTACTATGTTTTGTGGTAAGCTTTGGGTTTTGCAATTTTATAATAATCTAGATTAAACTAAAATTCCATTACGGTTATTTTCTAAACTTAATTGGCTTACCAAAACAACTCGACTCACACACACACATCTCCGCACAAGCACACACACTGCAAAAATTGAACGTGGTGTGAGCAAAGTTGTGTGCGTGTATCCGAGTAATTAAATTAATTTAAAACTAACTTTACATTTAAGTTTAATTAGGCTATCAAATTGATTTGTTTTGCGTATGGAGTTACTCGAATAGGCTGGGCGGCCAGTGCGGTGTTGGGGAAAAGGATTTACAAGTAACTGTTCAGAAATTTTGTGGATGTTACAGAGTACGAGTACATGTAGGAGTATGTAAACGGACTGAAATATCATTATGTCTTAGGAGTTAATAATCGGTCAACTTATTCAATGCTTAGTAGGTTTTGTCTTCAACAATTTTTTTTGTATTTATTCAATAAGGTCATATCTGATTACTGCCAAATGCTTATTGTTGAATTTGAATCTTGTAATATGTATCTGTTGCTATGAGATTTGCTGAGAGTATTCTAAAGGTGGGTGGGTCTTCACTTGGATTCAATTGAATGATTGAATTATGAAATGAAATGCTTACGTTTCGGAAACATGCCCGAAACGACGGCCTGGAACTCGGTCAACATCAATTGGCCAAGTAAGTGCTCAATTCCCGAAATCAGTAAACATTCTGAGAAAACCTGTTGAAGGACTCACTCTCTTTGGTAGTAGCTAACACGGCGTTAAGCTCATTAATTTAGATGGGCGAGTCAGAGGAACCCGATATACCACCTAGACTACATGCCCCAACGCTTCCAACACCCGTACCAGCACTTGTTGACGCCGCCACGCCAATATCGCTGATGCTCTTGACACGTCTACTCTGCTCATAGAGCAGATGGGCATCAGAACTGTGGGCCTCGACAGCATTACCGAATGGTGGGGCACTGACACGATGTCCAGGCGGTCCGTAATTGCCCGACACCGGTGGTGGTGGTGGCGCAGTTGTGGGTGGGGGTAAATAATGATGGTGCTGTTGATGATGGAACGCATGAAGCTGCTGCGGTCCTACTGTGGCGTAGATTCCTCCGCCGCCACCACCGCCCTCGCTGCTGCTGTACGATGGTGTTGGAGAGGTTGAGTTGCCGAAGGAGCTGCGATCACCGGTGCGATGGGGTTTTGTATTAAACCTAAATGCCTTTGATAGGGAACTCTGCAAAAATTAATGCATTAATAATAAAAGCTTCTACCCAAGACAATTCAGTATTACCTGAGATCCTTTCCATGCCGAAATCTGTAAGGTTAGAAGATGGGAAAATATAAAGCGTTTATTAAATTGGTGTTTCATCAGCATATTTAACATTGCAACTTTGTCACCTAGTTATGTTTACACATATTTATGTGTGTCTTATATTTATCTTAATGAATACTGTATATTATATCTTCCATAATTGGAGTGCGCGCATCCAACTCACACTCATTTGTTGTGCGTTGCACATGTTTCTATGTGGCCGTGTGTGTACATATACTTGTATCTGAGTGGATGTCTGGCGCGGCTGTAACACCTAGTTGGCTGCACAAAACCGTCGACCATAATTGGGCATGAAACTTCTGTTGTCATTACACGACTCATTAGGTCCTTGTACGTCTTGCGGTTCTCAAAATTACGATATCCTATATCGAGCTTAGTAAGCAATTGAAAGTGTACTACAATACTTGAACTTTTGAGTTTTACATTTCACATTTATGCATGTAAGAATTAATATCTTATAGATCCTTATTATAAAAAATTTGTATGTACCTACAAAAGTGTGTGTTTGTTGGTGTATATGTGTGTACAGATTTGCTCAGTTTTCTGATTTGAGAACAATTGTAGTCAGCCGCGTATGATATTAAAACTGCATAGGCAGATGAATCGCATATTAAAAAGAAAAACAATTATATTTAAAATAAAATAAAACCTGATCTTTTTGTAAAAAATTGTATATGGATTTTCTATCAGCGTCTAGATAATGTCAAAAGCTTAGAAGGGAATGTCGCTTTTTGTACGGATATTTGGCTGATCCAAATTTTAGATATTTCAATAGCTTCAATAGCTTGCAAGGACCATCTACATAATAAGGCTTCACACAAACCGAAACACTTAGGAGACGATAGATATTGGAAATGAACCGAAATTAGTAAAAACATACTATTAGTAGTTGTAGTATGAAAAGCCGTTTACAGCTATATGATACTAGTCTAACACTAGACTAGAACAGCGACTAGGTTGCTGTGCAGTTTGATAAAAATAGTTAAAACACAATGTAAATGTGACGAATTCATTAAAACTAGCACACATTCTTATGCCAAAAGCAGAGCCTCTCAGCTGCTTTCGACTCTTGCGCTTCTCTGCCAATACTATAAAGAGTTGGTATTTTCTTTAAGTTTAGTTTTTTAGAATAGTATAAAAGGCCATTATTAACTAAGCTAGCAGGTTGATTAAACCGTAAAACGAAAAACAAGTAAATTATAATTTTTAATTTGTATGATCCTAGAATGCGAGAAATGGTAGGAAATATTGTGCGTATGTTTTGATTGTTTCGGTATATGTATGATTTTCTTCAAGTACACTTAGAATATATTTGATTATGTTTTTTTGGTAATGGTCAATTCTTTTAAGATCTATTTTCCTATTACCATTATTCAAACGAAAGCTTTTGATGTTTCGTGTTATTATTTGTGTTGACTATTTAAGTCACCGTTTATGGGCTTTCATTTTCATGCAAAAAAACAAAAAAGTAGCTTTCAGTTAAAAATGAAGGACCGACGAAAAATAAAAATATGTGTTAATTATACTTATCCTGACGCTCAGCTCGTTCTGGTCTTGTCAAGTATTTTAAGCTGTAGTGCACTAATTAATACAGAAAAGCTTTTACAGAGGCTAATGTAACATATCGCTACTCGACATGTTTAAATAATTTGTGTTTATATTGCAGAAAAAACAATTTAATTGCCACTCAAACATAAGTGCAACAAAATAAAAAGCTTTCCACAAGGCTTACATTACAAAGACATAAATACACAGTTACAAAAGAGACAACAAAAGCTTCATGTCAAGTCAGGCTTATTGCTTATATAGAGACAGACACAGACAGTTTTAAGGGTATGATAGATTTGAAATTTCATTTGTATTGGCTCGCTTCTCCAATAGCAGAAAAAATTTGTAAAATTTGTCTCTTAGGCCGCCAATTAAAGGTAAATTGTAGTTTTGATGTGAAGTGAAAATACGTACATACGAGTTTTTAAGTTTATGAGAGATTATAGCTATAAAAGCAACTTACCCGTAAACTGCCGCTCGAGCGGCGATCTGTTGTGGCATAGTGCAGTCCGTTCGGTCCAGTTAGGGGCACTATGCCGCAACCAGAGCGTATGCCTTGACCCAAAGTCGCTCTACACAACAAACATTGCAATACAACCAGATTGTTTTTGTGTTGCATATGTGCGTTTCCGTGTGTGTATTTGTGTATCCGTGTTTCCGTGTATTGTTGTGCGTATTGATTTTGTGTGTGCATTTTAAAAATTTTTGTTGGTTTTTGTCGTTTAGTTGTAACAAATTTATACACAGATGGTAGAGAGCACAGAATGATGGAGGAGGCAGGCAGGCGGGCAGGCAGATATAAAAGGCAAGCAGACACAGATGACAAGTTACGTGGTTGTTTTGTTGTATTTGTAATTGTTTTTGTTAGAGAATATCGTGTTGATGTTGTTGTAGTTTGTAGTAGTTATAGTAGTTGTAGTTTGTGGATGGCATTTTGATAGACAATCAATACAGAAATAGTAACAATATTATGTTTTAAATGCAAAGCCGTTTAATTTGTATTAGATTATAATCGAGGAATACAAAAGAAATATTCGCAAAAGTAGTAGAAGTGAAAAAGAAGAGAAAGAGAGACAAAACAGTAAACAGTTAACAATGGAATTACAAAAATTCTATTTCTAAATTTAATAAAAAAATCATGTATTAAAAGCGACCTAAATACTTAAACCATATTTACCAAAAGCGATTGGAGCGAAACAATAAGTATGGTATGTACAGACATACAACACATATACAAACATACAGGAAATATCACACGTTTTATTACGATAAGAGATGCAATAAAAACACAGGACCAAAGTTTGTTATATATCTAGTATACATACGAATGTATGTATGTATGTAAGTGTGTATGCATGGGTTCAACGCTTCAAAAATTAGATTTAAATATAACTGCACCAACTAGACTTACATTCACAATCTTTTAAATGTAAATTGGGTGTTATTCGTGTGTTATTTTTACGGGTACAATTAATGTGAACAACGGAAATTACAAAACTCATTAGACATGGAGGCTGTTGGCTTTCCGGCAACGGGGCAGGGGGCGGTTGTGTTTGGGGCGAAATATAACAACAACCATTTTCGCACAAATTGCGTAGCTGGGTGATTTCTGGCATGACTATTGCAAGTGAAGTATACGCAGTGTGCGCACGAAAGTATGCAACACTGTGTAATATCTTCTGGGAATGAAGTATACGCAAGATGGCGCACAAAGTTATGGAAAGTTGAAAAGAGCATTATCTACTCGAGGCTACAAATTAAAAGGAAAAACTCATACCATGTTCATGTGTACGCATATATGTATCTATGTATGTAGGTATGTATGTAGATATGTTGATGGTGGTATTGTTGTAGTATGGTTTGTTTGTAATCGCATTAGAGGTAAGTCTATATGATATATTTTTATTCTGCTCGTTAGGTATATACATTATGCTCTTATGCTGATTCCACTATTATAAGATTCAAATTGGCATATTTTTTATTCTCTTTAATTCACCTAACGTGTATTTGTTCTATCCAAGCAAATGGTAATAGCAAAAAAATTGTCAAAAATTATTCGAAATGCGGAAAATTATGAATGCCCCTCTTTTATTTTGGCATCAGTGACAAATGTGTTTTAATGAATTATTTAATATTAATTATGTAATATCCCCACTAAATCTTTGAGCGAAGATTTATTTAGTGGCATCAATTGTGTATTTGTATGGCTTTGGTGCTTAGCTTAAATGCAAATTACAGTTGTGTATATTAAATGCATTATTTCATATTCTTTCTTTGTAGAGTTGCAAAATAAAAAAGTGCAAATCATGGTCAATATACTTGTATTAATAGTGTTTTCTTCTTTTATACAAAGCTCGTTACGTTGTATAATCGACGTGATACGCATGAGCATTTGATGCTCGCTTAACGCGTACTTTGCTTAATCGCCTAGGAAGGAATAGAGACTTATTCTTAGCTTGAGTTTTGGTTATCGCTTTGTGTGACAATAGCAAGTTGTAAAGATACTCGTTCATAGAATTGCATACACTCCATACGTATACATATAGCATGTACACTTCTTGTGATCAGTTATATGTATGTATAGTATATCTCGTTATTTTTTCTAAACTCTACCATAATAACGATATAAGTAGATTTCGATTTGTGCTCTGCTTCAATTATTGTTCTTTTCCTATAACTAGATATCAGCTCTGCTATTCAATGTGTAATAAATCCATTTGGTTTGATTAATTGGAGCCTTGACAATACAATGGCACCCATACAAAATACAGTTTTCTTATTTTTCACTTAATGGCCCTGTAATTTGGCCAATTGGCGAGAGTTTTCCATTTGAAATTCTTCCATTTGACAGTAAATAATGTATCTACATGGGCAAAATAGAAAATACATCGAGATTTTGGAAGAGAAGAAAAAGAGAAATAAGGCACATGAGGCAATTAGTGCGTTTTGTTTGACCTTTCAAACATGCTCTAAAACACGTGTACAAACACTGCATATATTACTACATACGTATACCGTATATGAGCTTTTTTTTATGTAGTTTTAAACTATTATGGCGCATGATATTACAAATAATTGTAGACAAACACATATTAGTATTTGTTAGACAGAGTATTAGCGAAGATGTAAATATGTGATAAGCGACATTAAGAGCTGCCTAAAGCAGTAAAGAAAGAGAAAGCCATGATATATTTAATAATGAGAATGTGAAGAAGGTGAAATGATGAAATGTTTTGGACTAATATTAATAGTATGAGCGCCGTATCTCCAGAATATACCTTTTATTTTCATTGAAAGGAAAAAACACAAGCCTAAAGCAAACAAATGTTTGTCACACAAAAACAAAAAGCTTTTCCCAATATTGCCGTCGCGTATTTACGGAAAATGGGGAAATTTATATCATAAAATATACATCTGTTATATAAAAGCCAACCAAGCTATCAAGTAGAGAAAATTTGTCGTTTGCATCATATATATCGTTATTATTATCCACTAAAACTGTATTTATAAACACAATTGAATGCTGATGGTGATGGGAGTCATAAATGTAGGAAGCGTAAAAAGTATAAAAAAGATAAAATAAACGAGCAAAAACGAGCACCTGGAGCAAATTAAAAAAAAAAAAACGGAAAACCGGAACATAAATATAATTGTGTATCGATGCTTAAATATTCTACTGAGTAATGTATTTTAAATAGCCATCGTTTAGTCGGAAAAGTTTCAACAAATGTTGAAGCCGAAATTTCATATCATTGGTCATTACTATATTTCACTTCTAACTTCTTAATAGGTAAAGCCGATAAAGATGATTTTAAAATGAAAAGAGTACGGTTTCTAGTGAATACTGCGCATAAGAATGATTTGCTATATACGTAATACATAACGTGTATAGTATAAGACTGAATAAAACTGGATCCCCCTAGTAATATAAGTTCTATATACATATGCGTGACAATGAACGAAAATGAATATGGGTAAGGATCGAACTGGCATATGATGAAAAGGTAGATGCAATGACAAAAAAAAAAAACGTAATAAATTATATGACACTGTAATTTAATCAATAATTATGAGAATGCAAGTAACCAAACACAGGAAAAATGACAAACAAACAATCACACAAACAAAATGTATTACTCTACAAAAATCTTACAGTCATTATATCGCTTCTACCGAAACTGGTTTATGTAAATATAATATATGATTTACAAGAACAGGACTTGCACAACTACTGGGAGAAGCAATCACTCACCTGGCGGGCAGGATAAGGGAATCGAACTCAGTGTTGAGGTGGCGCCGTATGATGTTTTTCGAGGGGGGTATGCCCAGTGCGGTAGCCATGGTATCTCCAGAAAACGATGGCTCGAGTACAACGAGTCCTCCATGCACTCCACTGTCTGCAAAAGGGGCGATAGCAGCAAAAAAGAGTTCAGTAAGTGGGAGTTGTACTTGTAGATATGCAAATAAAAATTACCTTTCAAATTGTCCGCATACTCGCCCAAATCAATGGATCGCACCCAACGTATGAAGCGTTGATTGGTCCATACAATGGGATCTGTATCGACCGTCTCTGACTGCACACGTCGCATAGCCAATGTCTGTCGATCGTACTTGACAATGCGCAGCACATGTATGCCTGGGAAGAAAGCGAATCTGAGCGTTCATAAAAACGTTATGGGGATATATGTATTTGAGAAGCATACCATGTACAATGCTGGCCTGGTGGAATTTGCGTGTAACCCCAAGGAACTTTTCCAGCTCCTTCTTGGACAATGTATCTAGCATGCGAGCATCCACAAGCGACTGTAGGAATGGTTCAGCATATTGTGGCAAGCCTATGTCGGGTAGCCATTCTGTCGCTACCCAGGTGTGTCCGAGCTGTGTGATTAGAGGATAGCGTACCAGTTCTGGCCGGCGCTGCTCCTCAATGGCCAGTCGAAGCTTCTTGCGATGCATTGGATGTGTAAGACCTAAACCAGCCTCAAGCTCTACGTCATTCAGCTCAAGCATGACTTTGCCACTCTTCACATTCTCCGCACAACGTGTGCTATACTGCGGCATTCCGAGGGCGACCTCCAACCAAGCGAGCACTTGCGTGGCCCGCCAACGCTCCATGGGTAGCTGAGAGGCCTCTCGCAGCAAACGTAACTTCTCAGCATAGCCCTCCTCGGACAGCGGATTCCAAGAGTAGTCGGTATCTGGGCAATAAAGCAAATTATTAAGACTTCAGTTCTAGCGCTCACAAACTCTCTTACATTCTGTCACACCATCGGCAGACATTGCCTTGCTCTTGTTACGTGAACGCGCGAAGACGCGCGATATGCTGCCCCAGGTACCGCCTCGCCCATTCCGTGTACCCAGCGGCCCGGTTTTGGTGGCAAACTTTCTGGCTATAGCGCCGCCGGGTGCGTCAGGATCCACGGGCGAGCCAAGCTGTTCCACCGATCTGTTTTGTGAGGGAAATAGAAACACTTTTATGCATGTCGGCTATAGAAATTGCATAAATACCTGGAGTATGCGGCTGAGTTTAATGGTGATAGTGTTGGACTTCGTTCCTTTGGAGTGCCAACTGGGAAGAAACACAAAATAGATACATATATCTCTACACGACATCATTCACTTACACTGATACATATTCTGGCTGGAAACGAGCGAAATACTGTCGGGATCAACTGTGATACAAGGTCCATTGTCACAAGTACCATCACTAAAGTTAAGCTCGCCGCCCGTGCTTTCACGATCGCTGCTATTGCGCAGGCCGGAGTCGTTGGAGCAAGAATTTCGATCACCAGCCGTGGCGCCCGAGCCACCACTTAAGCTGCCGCTAAAGGCTGAAAGCGAGTTGCCACGCCCACTATCCTCGGTGGCGCGAATGCCACCTAACGCGCCACTTACGCCAGCGCCCGTGGCCAATTGACTGAGCATGCCAGAGGCAGCCGACGGAGGAGTGAGTGGCGCAAACGAGTGCAGGCTCTCTTGATCGGACAGACAGCCTGAGAGTTGGCGTCGGGCCTCCTGCAGCTGCTCTTGCAGTCGCTGTAGCTGTAAGTCACGTGCTGATAGCTGCTGTGCTAGGGCCAAGGAGCGCTCAGCTTCATCGCGGGCTTGCTTCAAAAGCTGGAAACGCTCTCGATCACGATCCCCGGAAATTTTGGCATTTGTTGTCTCACTTTCTCGCACGCGCTCCTGGAAATTGCGTATAAAATCGCGCAACTCCTGCTCTTTTTCCTGCAGCGAAGCACAGAGCTGCTTGACTTGCCCCAGCAGTTCGGTTTTGTCTGTTCGCAACTTTTTGCGCTCCAGCCGCATAGTCAACAGTTGATTCTTCACTGAGCGCAGCTCTGACTCCAGCCGATCGACGCGTTGCTGCGAAGCCGCACTGCTGCTGCTGTCCACCGACTGAGCTCCTTCGGCGCTGGGCTCCACTCCACCCACGGCTCCATCCATCGAATTCTCGAGCAATCTGCGTAAGCGTACGAGTTCCGCATTGAGTCGATCATTCTCTTCGCGTAGCTTTACGACAGCATCTAAAAATGCCAAGAATGAAAAAATGGATTCAGCTGATAAAAGGGAAGCTACAGCAAGCGGAGGAGCTACCCAAAATGCTGTGCTGCGCTAAGTTAAAGCGGTGAAGAAGCGTAGACTGTGTTGTTGTTGGTAACTAGCACTAGCTTAGGTCTACCCTCAAATTTAAAGGCCCTCAGCACACATCTCGAAACGCTCTGACCCGTTCTCATCCGGCTTCAGTACACAAACTATAAACAAACGGATCATTTGCACAGTTGGCATGCCAATCTCAACTGTTGACAACTGAACAACACTAGCCATACAAATGAAGAGATTGAAGAAGGTTTTTAGGAAGCAAGATTCGTTGCAGGTAATTAGAAGTAAGCCAGAGGAATATTAAAAGCAAAATTTGGGTTTCAAGTGCATGCTGATTGTCAGGATATCAAGTTACAGAGCGCAAATGAAAGATGAATGAATGACTGAATGAATGCGTTATGACAGTGCAATGCAGTGCAATGAAATGAAAACAAAATAGAGCTAGCAAATGTTCTGAGTACGGGACATACTTAGTCAGTCGTACACTTACCTGAACGAAATACGAGCTTGGACACGTCACTGTCAAAGCCATCGCAACTGTTGCTCTGGCTGGTTGCCTCTAGCAACAGGAGAGCTGCGGCAGCAGCAGATGTGGGGGAGTGCGGTGGTGCGGCAGAGGGGACTGACATCGTTGTCTTTGGAATAGTCGAGCTAGAAGCTAGGAATGAGGCCGTCACGGCAGCTTTAGTGGTCTCTTCCTCTGGCTCCATTAATCCCACAATTGGGCAAACATCATTAGCATTTCTCTTATCCACTTTTGTTGTAGTTTTTGTAATTTAGTTTTTTTTTTATCATTATTTGTATATTATTGGCGATGGAAAGATGCAAATAGTTGTTTGAGTTTGAGTATGTACGTGTGTTAATTATTGTACGATTGTTGTGGTTTCGGTCAGGCATGAATACGATTTGAAAAACAATAATAGATAATGATAATAATAACAATAACAAGAGCAACAACAACGACAACATTTAATGTTTAACGTGAGTGTGGCAATGATGATGCTGACGGCGGTGATGATGTTGAAGATGATAATGACGATGATGTGCATTGACAAAGGGTTAAAATGTTTGTCATTGGCCGATTGGTTTATGCACATGTGAGATAATTGTATACACTTGATTTCATTTTTGTTTTGAATTAATAGTAGATACATAAATAAATAAATATATAGTATGTAGACAGTGATTTAAATGAACACATACACATGTCATCACAAGGGTGGGATTCATGCAGCAACCAAATTTGAATATGACTCGGTAAAAACAAGGTTATATATATATATATATATATATATATATATATATATATATATATATATATATATAAGTAAAACCACAAAATTCATTTATTTATTGAAGCCTACATTGTTCTGTCAATAATTATGTCAACTTAAATGAAGGAAAAGCAATAGAAATTAATGAGCAGTCGTCCTTTGAAAGAATTTATGGCATCTCTGCCATAATTCATAACAGCAAGTGGCTTGAGATACAATGGAGAGCCATCATTATATATGAAGGGAAACCAAAGTAACAAATTTGTAATACAATTCGACATAAATTCATTGCATTTTCTGCAAACTATTCTGAAAGACTGAAGGAATTTCTAATTAGTTGAAAACTAGTTAAAAGAAAACAGCAGAAATTCCTTCAGGACAGTTTCTCACTGTTTATTGCTTTTGGTAAATGTCAAATATTGACCCCATGTAGATTAAGTAAATTCAATTTATTGTTTCGTTCACTAGATGTCATGGAAAACGAAATCATTGTGGGGACTTCATTCCTCCGAATACTAAAAGTCTCCACAAAGTATACTGACACATCGAATCGATAATCTTAAGCAGATTTAAAATAGCACAACAAGGATAAACGAGTGGAATAAAAAATATCAACGCATTTTTGGAATTGTGGACAATTTTACATTGACGAAGGCTTGAATAATAATAGTTTAGAAATGGAGGAATGAAATATTCTGGGTCACCATTTTAAATGATATCCCCAATATGGACAGACCTTTTCTGTATAAAGCAGGCTTAAGCGTCCTACAAATAAACAACATTCATTTCAAATATGCAAACAGGGCTTTAGTTGACTTCACTTCAGAGAGTGGAGATAGTAGGATTAAGTAAATCACAATTATTGTTGGTGGCACTGAAACCACAAAATTACGTGCATTAAGCGCTTTAGCTGCATTATTGTATGCATTAATAAAAAAAGGATCTAAATGTGTGAAATCAAATATAATTTTTTTCGCGCATTGACGTTGATGGCTTGGTTTGACTTTAATTTAATTTTAATAATCTCCATTCCTGCATTTTTCTGAATGCTGACGTCAATCGCCAATACACATACATAATATTTGTATTTTTTTTTTATTTATGTGGTCATTTGTATAACGAATTTTACAAAATTATTTGCATTTAAATTTGTTGCAAGAGTTGTTACCATCAGGATTATTTGCGAGACACAAATAATGCATTTGTTTTATTTTTTAATCTCATAATTTTAATTGACATTGTTACACATAAAGCAACGTGGCTTTATTTAAAAAGTTGATACTTCCGATTGCATTTATTGGTTGCCAATTTTCTGCTGTTGATTCATAGTTTTTAAGGACAAATGACACTAATAATGTAAGTGCTTCAGGCTCGAACCATTCTTGCATAAATGCTGGTGCACAAATATAAGCTGCACAAAGACGATTGTACGAGTACTTAAACCTGCATGTGCAATGGCACATGTTCAATTTCGTTCCTATGGCGAGTTATGTTTGTAACAGCAGGTTGGCTTTGGTACTGGGACTGTAGTGCTATCAGTGGGAAACACAAGCACTTGATCTCCACTGCGCTTCGTTGGACGGGCCAGTCGCTGATGAGGCCACAGAGCGGTCAGGCTTGCGAAGCACTTGCCTTCCATTTCGTAATTTTGGAGCACATGTACATGCATGCGAACAGCACTTCGGAATTCTAATATGATCCGGTCCACTGGGCAAAGCCAAAGTACTCTCAGCCTTGATGCTGTATGCAAACAGAATACCGCAGAGCCGCACAACGCATGGAAAATGGCTTACAGCGTAAGGACGTTTGTCTTTCGAATGCATTTGCTTTGCACATTTCTTTCTTGCTTGGTTTTGTTGCTTTTGACAGCCGCATATTTGTGGAATACCTGATCTGTCTGTAGGAGGGGCTGGGCAAATCAAATTGCAATTCATTTTGATGATTTTTCAAGAACTTAGACAGTTTCGGAAACTCTAAGATCGTACAATACACTCATTCATTGGAAAAAGGTCTTAATAATATCAAAAGAGAAACGCAACCCTTGCGCCTAATTTGAACAACATTAAATCACTTAGAGAATTACGTTATTGCAAGCTTTATAATATATGTATTTCGAAATATCCAGCTGTAACTGGATGTACTAACTCGATAGATTTGAAACTTAAATCAAGAGCCCATTATTAAGTCGTGGACTTCTTCATTGAAAATGTTTGCCAAGCTATCTGACGAGTTTTAATTGAAAACCAATGTCTGACTAAGTTGTAATTCCATGAATCAATATCTTTGCCATAGATGTTAAAAAATGTCCACTCAATACCATGGTTATTCCCTTGCATAAAAATCTCATGCAACTTATTTTGCATTTAATAGAGAAAAATGAAAAGGTATTAAAGATCTGACTGTAATATGTATGTAATATGTTTTCTTGCTTATAAGATGCCAGTAAATGGCAGAAGTTCATATATATTTTCCCCTATGTAAACGGGTAGTTGAAGAGTCTGCATACTAGGAGATACATGTAAATACAATATTCTAAAGCGATGCATTGATTGAGTATTTAGTCCTTTTGCATTCATTTTGCGTTTGGTGTTTGTCAAGTCGTAATTAATTGCTCATACGCCATGTGTGCCACGAAAAGCAACAACCATCGATGTGTCGTCGTTTTCAATCACCTGAAATATTTCGACTCGGCAACGAGGTATGGGTGCCTTATTCCCAATTGCTCAAAGGCGATGGCTTATGCAGTTTGCGTGTGTGAATGCAGTTGACCACAAATTGATTGAAAATAAAGACTAGAAGCAGCAAGTTGAGGCAATCAGTTGGCAGCAAGTGCTTCAAAGCCTTTTGAACATGACTCCCACCCCACCACGCACAACCCACAGCTCACAACCCAAACACATGTGCAGGAGAAAGTAACCCATATAAGCAGTATGCTGACTGCTTCAATACACAGCCACACTTCGATTGCAATATGGACATAAACGAGCTCAGAATATATAACCGCATTCGCACATTCCCACTTACCAGCGTTCAGGGCGCTCCCATTGCCGACCTGAGCCAAGTGACCGGCAGCAATTAAATTTGAGTTATTCGTATGGATCATGCCTGCGCTGTTGCTGTTGCTGTTGCTGGTGCCGGTGCTGGCAGTGTTACTGCCATTCAGTAATTGGGACTGTGGCAGGCCAACCTGTGGACCGATGGGGTCGCTCTTGACAGCGCCGGTACTGCTCGTGTACGCCACCAACCGGGGCTGCTGCTGTTGCGATTGCTGCTGCAGATTGGGATTGGAATTGGGATTGTCGTTGGTCACGGGCGGCGTGAGCGTGTGATTGCTGCCATTCGAGCTATTTGGGGAGCTGTTGTCAGCGCTGGCGCAGGGTGTCAGATCGCGTTTGTTGCCTATTAGTGTGGGTGGACCTGCAAATGCATTTGCGGGATTCGTTACTGTTTGTTTCGCAGTCGACGCTGGTGCTGCCGTCAAAGTTGTGGTTGTGGTTGTCCCCGGCTGACTATTGTTGTCCAACGAAAGCAGCGGCTTTATGGGTTTGTTGTTGTTCACGGTCTTCTCCTTGAGCACCAAAACACTTGAGTCCAGGGACTTGACGATTTTCTGCAAAGTTAGGCTGACATGAATCAAAAGGCATTCAACTAAATATAACTACTATACATAAAAGGAATAATGTTGAGCAAGAAATAGTGATGACACACCTAAAAAGAAAACCAGCAGTGTTTGAAGCACCGAATAATACATACTGTACAGATGATTTTAGTGTTTATAACGTAGAAACAATTTTTTAGATTCCTATTAATGATCACCTCAGTAATACTAATCCTGGAAATAAGTTAATTTCGGTTCATTTCCAGTAAAAAAAAGTGGATGTAAGCCCAAAATGTGAACAAAGTTTTTAGCTATATATGTACATGTGTATCCAATGCCGTTTATTTCGAATCATCCGATAGAATTTTTCTTTAAATAGCTTAAAAAATAGACCACACTTAGCTAAGGCGACCTTCACGGTAATGTTAAGGCACTTGATACTTAATATAGAGCCGTCAAATTACGGTTCTAATAACCTGTGCAATATACTTAGTATGAAAATGTTGGATGGAAAATGTGCCGCGCATTACAAGTTGCCAAATTATGTAAAATGGTGATGGTGTTGGTGAATGGATGCAAGAAACTTGCTTGGAATATCTTTGAATAGCGAGTGGCATGCAAATTGTGTGTGGGCTGAAAAGAGAGGCCCTTTCCCCATCCACAAGCAATGAGACCCAATTAAGCTAAATAGCAAGTGAATGGGTGAGTTTCTGTCGATTCTATTGTGGTTGTTTGAGGGGTGGGGGTTGTAAGGTACTTTGGGGTACTTGTTGTACTTACGGATTCGCTGAGCTTGTGCAGAGATGCATTTATGCGATCCGGGTTGCGCGGCGGCGGTTCTGGCGGCTCTGATGCAGCCATGGTTGGTCCGGCAGCAAGACCGTTTATTTGCATACTTTTTATAAATGAAACGGATTTGTTTTTCTTTATGTGCTTATGTATATACGGGTACTTATATATTTTAATTATCCACTGCCACTGACTTTATTTTGACTAGCGCTCTGATTTCACCTAATGCTGGGGGCACTCTTATGCCCGCTCTAACATTATCACAATCATATAAATTAAGCCAGTAGAGATACGTACACAAAAACACACCGACTAATAGCTGCTCTCTCTTCAGTATTCCACTAGCAGCCGTCGAATTGTCTCTTTTCGTTCATATGGACTTTTTCGCTTTTGTTCCGTTTTCCAGGTGTTGTTGTAAGCTTTCATTCAAAAGCTGGTTCGAATCTGCAAATAAAGAAAATATTCAATAAAGTCGCATATTTGTCGTTGGTTTTCAGTTGAAATTATATGTGAAAATCAACTATATATTTTACCTCTGACACTTTATAATAATTACATAAATTTAATGTCGGAATCTATTTCTTGATCCTAACAGTAACAGCAGATGCATGCTTAACGTATTCAGAACCAATATCCGGTCTGTTTAAATCGTAGTCTGCAAAAGTGGAGCCCAGTAGCTCTGCATTTGGCTTTTAATCCGATTTAAGACCCAACTACAAATAAGCTGACCAGCAAAATATGTTGCGGTTGTTATGGCCAAGAAAATGCATTCACATTCGTACTCAACTTGCCAAATACGTGATGCAGTATACATGTAATGAAATGAGAGGGCCACGGAGGGCGACAGAGGGACAACTATCATACTAATGGCAGGAGTAAGCTTGTCCGCCCAACCAACCAGACAAAGCCAGGGACAATGGCAACTACTCCTTGACTCTAAGCCACACACACAGACCGCAGAGTACGCAGCACAGCATCTGCCAGCGAGGTTAAGCTCCCATATTTGCTCAGGTAGCCCCTAAACGTGTGTGTTTTTATGGCAGATAGGTTCGTAGGTTTGAGGTGTGCTTTCAAATATAACTCTAATCATAATAATAGCACACGAGTTGTGCTTGTCTGTGTGTGTGAGCCAGAAGCCACTCACCACGGCATCGCCGCATAGCCGCAAATATGTGTCTGGGATCAACATAACAGTTTACATAAATATTTATGTTAAGGACTTTAAAAATAAAAATAGAAATTGCGTTGTTTTCAACAAAAACAAATTAGGCCTTTATTTCAAATAAACGAAATGCTCGCTGCTTATTCAAGATAAATATTTATAAAATGTATATTTTCACTCATGCATATTAAATATATCAATAAACTTAAATATTTTTGAATAATCACTTACTTCCACAATGGCTGATTTTAATTGAAACCCAATTTGGTTTGAATATTGTTCAATTGTTTTTATATACTCTTTCTTTTAGCTGTACTACTTATGACTACTTACAAGTATTAACCTTTGACTTGGTAAACGACTTTAAGAATACTGTATGCATGCAGGTGGACAATGACGTGTTAGTTGGCGAGCGAAGCAAAAGTGCATACAAATTTGAGCTAATTTTTAATGTTTTGAAACTGAGCTGAAACCATTCTACTGTGCTAGAAGCAAACTCTGTAGGAAACTGATGGCAATCTTGGGCCAGCGTTAATGGAGGAGAATATGCTCTCGCAAATTTTTTGTAATTAGAGCTGGCAAAGTTTCTGTGCAATTTGTGCCAAAGCTAATTAGCTGTGATTAGTTTCAATGCATGCTTGTGTTTTAAGTTGTGGCTTCAAAAGGATGCTTTCAATCTGCTTTCCACCTGAAAAGACATTATTGCAGTCGGCGAGTGTGAATAAAAGGCGATTAGGATGAGACATGCTGCGTTTGCCTTCACACGAACAAAAGTTACAAAGTGTGGAGGATAAGATGGCAAAGTTATGTTTAAAATGTGAAACCCAGCATTCTCTGCAATATCTACGCACGTGCAGCTGTCAAAGTGAGTCGAGTAAGTGCACTGAAATCAACTGAGTTCCCATGTCAAGAGTGCTGAAAAACGACGAGCCAACTATGAGTTGTACACAAACGAGTATCTGTGCACTCAAGTGCATATGCATGCCATCAACAAACATACACATGCACATATTTAACAAGCCTGTGTGCTTTGTGGGCATGTGTTGCACATTTATGACTTCACGACTCACAGCACATGCAAAAGTGGCTCGCTAAGCACATTTCTTTTTGCCTTTTCAACGACAAGTTCAATTTCCATACTTGACCTGCTTCAAAAACTTGTTTTGATCTCTGGCCTGAGGATAGCATTGGTTAACCGATTTGTTCTACGATTTCCTTATAAGATTATAAGTTTCCTTTCTGCAGGATTACGTTGGCCTCAAAATGAATATCAAACTAAATTGAAAATTTCATGCCGAAATTATGTATATTTTTATATGCTGTGGTTTGAAAACAATGCCATACTTGCTTATCAACTATTGCAGGACCGACCGAAATACATATATACTTGTACGATAATCCACTGTTGTATGCGAGCGTGCATTTGTGTTCGACGTTGTGGGTTTGAGGCTTACGTTATAAATTTCATTGAACTGCAAGAATGTTGTCTGGTCTGTCGAGTAGTTTGAGTAGCCACACAAATGGCAGACGGACTGACAATCGGTTAAATATCAATTTATGCAAAAAATGGAATCAACTAATTGACAGTCGAGCAAAATGTCGATTTCCCAATGCCAAGACTGCCGGCACTGAAGTGCTATTGTTATATCTTTAATAACGTTGAGTGCAGTAAAAACGACAAGTGCTTGGCTTGTAAGATGGAGCTTCATTAGTGGATGCGAAATGTATCGCAAACAGACTGGCGTGGCGAGTCCCTTTTGTGTTTTGTAGTTTCTCGCACATTTCGTATTAATTTCCTGTTGACTCGCTTAAGAGCGCTCTATTTGAAATCAAGGCACATGGATATCATTAAAACGATTGAGAGTCTTAGCCTTTAAGAAGCTGAGCTCAAATTTATGTGTACTAGTGAAAAGGTGAAGTAGATTTAAGTCACAGGAAAAAATGCATAGTTTTAACGTAATATGACACCATAAACGGTTCATTAGGCTAACTTTATAAAAAAGAAATTCTATGTCGTCGTACCATAAACATCTTAAAAAATCCTATACATGTCTGACCTTTCAAAGGTAAAACGGATTTTCCTTGAAAATTAAAACCTCATCATTTCCATCAGGCGCCCAAATCGCAATTGGATTCGTTACTCACACATATTTGTTAAACATACAAGCATATATTCGTATGTCTTGCATCAGACAAACGACCTGTGCTTGATTTAAATGTAAATGTAAATGTTTATGTAAAACATGCTGATTTCTGAGGGAAACCCGTCAACCCATTTAGTGATGTTTTGCTACCACAGCAAAAATCTAATTAAAGTGTTGAGATACTTATCGCCACCGTCGCCTTTTGCCTCATTCAAAAACACGAAGCTATAATTTATGCATTACCTCACACACTGAAAACCATATTTGTACACGCACATATCCACACTCATATTCAGGCTGCTATCGAAAGCCTATCGGCGGTCTCATTTATGTATACAAGTAGTATAGTATGTCCACTTACCCCATTTAGCCGCTTTTGTTTTTGCTTTTGTCTTCTAGTTTGTTTTTAGACTGTTATACTTGTATGTATAAATGTATGTATGTTTGCTTGCTGGTTCAGGCCAGCGTGAATCATTGAAGGACCAAAATAAATACTTAATTACATACGTGTAGTGGTAGTAGGTACCCGGCGGACAACAAATATAAGCAAATATGTATATAAGTTTGGTTGCTCCGGCAACTTATGCATACTATATGCTACCATATTTGTTTTTTAACTTGCTCCACAAACTTCGGCTTTACAAATTTCAGATTTGAATTTTGTTTTCTAAAAATGAAACCAACATTCTATTTTTTCTGTCAAACAATCCGACGGATGAATGACATCCACTGAGTACTGAACTATTCACAGTGTTTTTTTCCTGTAGTGCTCTGCTGGCACAGAGGAATCGATTAAATAGCGAAAATAACTCATTATGAGAAAAAAAATGGTGGAAAATGAATGAATGTAGATTTTTTGCAAGGGAAATATAAAACTTCAGCTTTCTTTTGTACAGGTATGTGGGTTGAAAAGGGGGAGAAAGTATAAACCACATTTTCTTACTGATGAAATTACTGTCGTTGCATAATAAGTTCCATTCAACAATTGATTATATTTAAATTTGCTGTAAAGCCAAGCCGGATACAATTTGATAAAAATGCTAATTGCTCAATTGAGAAAAAAAGAAGTTGTATAATTGAGTAATTTAAAGTTGCTACTGAACGCTTAAAGTGATTTAAATATGAATTTCAGTATGTCTGTACAAACTAAAGGTTCAATTGCATTGGCTTTTATTGGTACAAGTATACGAGTATTTGATTTGAGCTCTGAAATAAGCTGCATAAACGAATAAGGCATCAGAAAATTGCTGTTGCCGTCCATGCTGATTCTGTTACAGTATTCAAAAACCAGTATTGCACTGATCCAATTCTTAATTTGCAATTGATGACCAAACAATTAATGACCCCATTCACAGCGTAGAATGCGACGCCAATCATATTCATACGGCTATATGTGAGCACTCACGCCTCGAAGAGCGATTCAATATACATTCAATGCGCTTTTTGCTTTGCACTCCATCGTTTGCAGTCTTTTGTTAGTGAATTGAAGTTGTGAGTGCGACGCATAAAAGCCAATTGAACGACTCATTGCCATAAAATAGAGGAAGCCACTCCCTCTGCATAGCGACCTATCTATCTGCTATTCTCCATAGAAGCAGCGCAAATGTTAAATAAACAGGGAAAGGAATGACCGGGTAACCATGCCTGTTAAAACAAATTAAGGCGTGCAAATGAAAACAAAGGTTTTTCCTATTTTAGTGGAAAAGTTTTCCCTATGCTGCTGCTCTATTTGTTGTTGCCTTTATGTGGAACGCCTTATCAGGGCTTTGTGTGCGTACTCTCCCCCATAAAACTTTTCATAAGCTGCTGCCTGGCAGAGCTCGTTGCAGATTTAATGAGTGGTGCAGCAGTGGCGAAAGATGACGTCGAGAATCTCATTTAGTTTGCAATTAATTAATGCCAAGTAAAACAACGATGCTAGAAAAAATGAAATGGTGGATTCGGTGGTATTTAATTAAACTAAATAGATGCGGCAAAAATGTGCTAAGCTTTCGCTTTTTCCTATGATTTGCATATCCTGCTTCCGCCGAAACTTTTCCCGTTGCCCTCGGAGCATACGAATTGCGAAAAACTTTCGCAACCGCCGAACATGTTTTTAAGCGCCCTGCATACTTGAAGGCAAAATATTTTTCCTAAGC